CCTGTTACAGTCTCAAAAAAGGCACTCTGTTCCTCCATTCCTTTTGCCATGTTGAAGATGTGTCAGCCAGAACAGTCAATACCTTGTGGACCCCAGTAGGATCTCAGGGGCTCGGTACCACCGCGTCGCCACATACTCTGTCAGCGCTGGATTCCCACTGTCCTCTTGGATCTGGTTGAGTGATCTGGCCAGGCCGAAATCACACAGCTTGACCACACAGTCGGTGTCCAGCAGCACGTTGGACGGCTGTGTGGGAAACAAAGGAGAGAGAAACAATCTTCACAAGGACAATAAAAGTTAGATTTTCACATATCAATCCAAAGGCCATTTATTATATGGGGGGGGGGGGTCAGAACCCATTCATTTTTTAAAAACCTTATCCCACAGAATAATTTATGGATCTTGATGAAAAAAACAGGCACATTTAGGGAACTGATATTTATGAGTGTGAGCAATTGGTGCAGTCTGACTGATAAGGGTCTGATGGGCCTTGGCAAAGGTGTGTACTCTGCTGAGTACTATTCTAGTACAGTATACAGTGCATTCTGCATTTAGACAGAACAAAAAAAAGTTAATATGTGATCAAATGCTTCATGTTTTATCTATATTACTATTCCTAAGTATTATCCATTTGAGAGAGTCAGTGGCAAACCTTTTGGTCTCGGTGGATAACGTTTCCTGAATGCAGGTATTTTACTGCTTTGAAGAGCTGGTACATCACATAACGTTTATGGATGTCCTTCAGGAGGTTGCCTTTCTTAATCACTGCATGCAGGTCAGAATCTGGATCAGAGCAGAGAGCACATGTTATTGTTAATATGGCTGCCATAGTAATATCAGCCCATGATTGGAGTGCAAGCCCTCCTCAGTAATCACACACTTAGAGGCACCCAGGAAACAAGATGTTGGAGAGAAACAGTGGAGGTCTGTGCTGTGATGCTGGTGCACACTCATGGATTAGACTGCAGAGAGGGGGAGGCCAATGTGTGGACTCAGCAGTAAGAGGGAGCAGGCGGCCGAGGGAAGCAAGAAGCACACACACACCTCAGCCTTTTTCAGTGCCAAGTAAAACTGAGAAGAGCCACTGCAGCCCTCACCATCAGCACTGATTATTTGTGTGTCACAACTGAGCAGCTCCGCATGTCGAGCAATAAACACTCACCCATATATTCAAAAATGAGGTAAATGTCTTTGTCGTTTTGCGCTCGGATGACATTTAGAAGTTTGACAATGTTGGGATGATCACCAAACTCCTGCATAAAGAAAAGAGAGTTTAAGCGAGTGAAACAACAGAGAACATACTGTGCACTGTGGCTACTGTTTGACCTATAATAACTGGCAGGTATTGGGTCAGGGTTGTGCAAACAACAGGAGTCGTTTCAACAGAGGTTACATAACAGTCACTACAAAACCGGAGTTTCACCGGATGATGACAGCAGCTGATTACTGGGCGGTGGCACACGTATGAAGGTCAGCAGATAATGAGTGAGACAGGAATATGTAACGCAAGAAAATAAAAATGATGAAACACTCAAGGAAATATAACTGTGTTGTGTCACAGCAGGAAGGTCAGGGTATTACTGCTGCAGTAATATGAGCAGAGCTACAGACTGTTAATAAGTACAGCAATTAACATATACTGTTAATGGATAAATGGAGTATAAAGAGCATTTTATGTGGACTTTCACTTGTGAGATGGCAAATCGCTGATGGAGCTCATTCACTGATGATTCCTGTTTGTCATGAGAAGTTTGTCTCTAATACTTTGTACAGTTAAAACATACTAAATAAATTATGGAGAAGTTAGAGAGTGGGACTGAGGTCTGTCTTAAACTAAGGAAATGATCAGATTTTTTTCATTACCTGAAGGAACATGATTTCTCTGAATGTCCGCTGCAAAACAAAAAAAACACATCAGTCATATTATGAATCTCACAAACATCCTGCAGCAATAAACTCGGCAGACTAAACACAGACTAAACATGTAATCATTAACCAAACGCATCTTTTTATGTGGGCCGGTGAGTGAGCTGATTCATACATGGTGGCTCTACAGTCATCACGATCAAAGTTTATAGATAATTATAATAATAACTTCTTTTGTAGATCAGACAGTACACACCTGGGCATCCGTCCTGTTCCTGAAGGCATCAAAGATCTTTTTCACAGCCACGATCTCTCCGCTATGTCTGTCGACTGCCTTCCATACGATGCCATAGGCCTGAGACAGACAAAGGATACGTTAATCCAGCCTCTATGTTGGCAGATGGGAAAAAACTAAACTTGAAAACAAACATAAGATATATAGAGCAAACTAAAATGGGGGGAACATTGTAAACAGGGCTGTCGCCAGGATTTTAGAAATACTGATGTCATACATAATCCGATAATTGTAGAGAAACCTATAAATTCAGCTATTTTTACTACTTTGGTTAATTAATTACATTTAACTGTAGGTAAATGGTAAAACATACCTTTATAAAAATAATTTTTAAACAGCTGAGAGTTCCCCTGTATGATCATATTCTCTACTCTGCCAGAGATATTTTAAGGACGTGACCTCTGTGTCCACGACAGTGGCTACAGCTTTGTTTATGGTGAGGGGAGACAAGCATCAGAGGATCAGAGAATATTGTTATTGTAATGAAATGAGGAAAAGTCTGTCATCAGAGGGAGTGGATCAGATTTAGACAACACTGGTAACTGTCTGTCAAACCCAGGTGAGAGAAACAGAGAAGAGAATCGGTTAGAAACGAAACCACAGAACAATTTAAAGCAAACTTTTCCTGTGGAACCACTTTATGACTTTCTACAGTCGTTTAGCACCGAGCCCTCAAGCATCTCTGCACAGGATGCAAACACCCCTTCTGTCAACTGTGAACCGGTTGAACAGCTGTGTAACCTGAGTCACAGTCACCCTCAGGTACGCCTGATGAGCCAATATGACCTGTCTACGTGGCAGCAGTTCCCACCTGCATGTTTAGAAACCACAGCACCAATTTGTGCAGTCTCTGTGGAGGAGGAGAGGCTGTGGAAAGAAAACCAGGCTGTTTTTAGCCCTGCAGGCTGTGACTGTGCCGGCAGAGAGGAAAACAAAAGGGGTAAGGGACTCTGAAGGGAGCAAGTGTCCTCACACACACACAAATCAGCTAATCTGCAGATAGAAAAGTTTGTCCTGCCAGAGTTAATAAACCCCTTTGCTTGCAACACTGGTTTTCACTGAGGACCTTAAGTCTGGAGTATGTTAGGAATTTCTTTTTGAGGTAGAAAAGTAACGGTGTGAAACTAAATGTGGGTTGTGCAACAAAACTGAAATGGAACTGAAAGTGATTTTGTGCATTAATGAGAGAGGCGTTCATTTTGTTAAGTTATTAATCATTTAAATCAGTGACATTCAATATTCAACAATTTAAATAATAATACACTTGACTCACCCCCTTCCCAAGTCTCTTCTTGATTTCATACTTCTGAGAAATATGCTCCTCCACCTCAGACACGTTTGATGATTCATATTTTTTACTCATTTTTCCAACAGTTCCTACTTTTCCTCAAGCAGAAGTCTCCATCGTGCTCTTTGATTATATCCAACAGACGATAGATAGAGATCGACAGACTTTGAATGTCCAAAAAACAGGTTTGGTCAGAGCTGCAGCATCCAGTTCATTGATCAGTCACAGTTTGGTTCATCAGGGTGGGGTCAGGAAGCAGCAGGTTAGTTTTCCGTCTAGTTGCTGGAATGTGTCCACATTTCAAGTTGTTATGAGTCCAGCTGAGAGAGAGTCTTCCTCTCTGTTCAGCTGAGATGTAAGTTTGGAGTCTTCCTCTCTGGGATGTGAGTTTGGAGTCTTCCTCTCTGGGATGT